CCAGGATCTGGGACCCCGGACCCCCGACCCGGACCCAGGATCTGGGACCCCGGACCTAGGATCCTGGACTCGAATCCCGGGGCCACTGCGGGCTGTTCACTGGTGAGGATCGAGGTGAGGTGGGGAGGAAGTGGGGAGGAGCAGGAGGGGGGAGGGGGCAGGAAGAGGGGGAGGGGCGGGGAGTGAGGAGGAGGGCGGGGTCAGGTCGCAGGACCTGCCTGGAGCTCGGGCGCCGCCACTTCGGGCAGCGAGCGCGCTGGGATTCCGCCCGTCCGTCCGCCCGCGCGCTGGGATTCCGTCCGTCCGTCCGTCCGCGCGCTGGGATTCCGTCCGTCCGCCCGCCCGCGCGCTGGGATTCCGTCCGTCCGTCCGCGCGCTGGGATTCCGTCCGTCCGTCCGTCCGCCCGCGCGCTGGGATTCCGTCCGCGCCCCCCACATCTCAGCGCTGGCCCGGAGAAGGCCAGGCCCCCCGGCAGAGGCGCAGCTCCTCAGGGTGACAAGTCTCGGGGTCTCTCGGAGCACCCCGTGGCCTCTGCGCTGAGCCGCGACGCTGGTGTGCGGTCAGACCGCGGACTGCACGCCTGGAGACCGCGCGACAGGATGTTCAGGAGTGTGGCCGAGAATTCAGAGATGTCGGACAACAGAACGCAGGCCTGCAGAGTCGGCTGCGTCGCACTTAGACTTGCTAGAGCTGCCAGCGAGTCGTGAGACTTTGAAAACCACCCGTGGAGAGAGCGGTGGTCTGCCAGGACGGCGGCGGCAAGCCGGTGGCGGCGGGTTTGGAAGGCTGGGCCTGTGCCCGCAGCAGGGCCGCGGGGCGGGGCGGGGCGGGTGGCGGCCCGGGCCGGGCAGGAGGGGTCGGGCTGCCGGGGGCCTCCCTGTGGGAAGTCCTGCCCTCTGCAGGTGTGCCAGGCTTTCTGGCTTCCCCTTTAGCACGTGTCAGGAGGCCTCTCTAAAGCTTTGCTCTGCCGTCTCACAGCCTCCAACTCCGGAAGCTAAATGAATCTCTTCTGTTTTAAGACAACCCAGACTCAGGTATTTCATCATATGAGCAAAATACAAAGAGCTACAGGGGCTTACTTCATTGACGTGTAGATGAGATGCCCGAGCCCAGGAATGTCTCTATCAGGAAGGATAAATTTCCCAGAAGAATGGACTGATATAATATGACAGCCAATGCAAGTGTTGCATAAAACACTAGGAGTGCAGAGAACAGCCCAACAGCAGAACCTAAACAGTGGACGGCTAACCATTGAATAGAAGGAGGAACATGGCAGTTACCGTGTTCTGGGGTCTTTTTATTTAAAGAGGAGTCAACATATTATTAATTAGGTTTGAAATTTCAAGTGAAAATGTCAGTTATTCAACAGAAAAACAAGAACATATAATTCTAGCTAGCAGATAGGAAAACACAATGCAAAAAAAATGATAATAAAAGTTAGTGGTGGCTCACACCTGTAATCCTAGCTACTAAGGAAACAGAGATCTTAGGATCTCGGTTCAAAGCCAGCCCCAGCAGGAAAGCCTTTAAACCTCTTATTTCCAATAAACTACTCAGAAAACTGGAAATGGCTGTGTGGCTCAAGTAGTAGAGCACTAGTCTTGAGCTGAAGAGCTGAGGGACAGCACCCAGAGTTCAAGCCCCACAACCTACAAAAAAATTTAAAAATAGAAACAATTAAAAAACTAAAAGGCAGTAGAGAATAGGAAAGCCTGGCTGTGTTGAGCATGCCTGTAATCCCAGCCTCCTCCCTCCCCAAGAAGTGGGGGTGCAAAAATCGCAAGGTGTAGGCAAGCCTGGGTTACATAGTAACAAACTAACAAGTCCAGAGGCTGGTGGCTCACACCTGTGATCCTAGCTGGGCCCTGAGTTCCAAGCCCCAGGACCCAGAAAAAAAAAATAGACCAGAGAAAAGAGAGCCCACAAAAACGACTGCACAAGAATACCTTCTCAGAGATTCACTGACTGAGAGATAGTGGCTAGAAATGTCACATGACATAGTTTAATTCTTAAAAACTGGAAGCCTAGCAGGGGGAACAAGACTGTTACTTTCTTTTTAACTTTCTGTATTCTATCATGTGGGTCCTAGGGCTTGAACTCAGGGCCTGGGTACTGTCCCTGAGCTATTTTACCCAATACCAGCACTCTGCCACTTGATCCACAGCTCCACTTCCAGCTTTTTGGTAGTGAATTGGAGATAAGAGTCTCATGGATTTTCCTCCTCAGGCTGACTTTGAACCATGATCCTCAGCTCTCAGCTTCCTGGTTAGCTAGTATTTCAAACGTGAGCCACTGAAGCCCGGCACAAGACTATTTCTGATCCATGCTTCTGAGGACCGCCCCTGGAGAGAAGCAGGGATCCGCTGCAGATCATCTGGGAAGAAAGCTTCCAGTCAGGGACAAGGTGGAGAGTCTGCAGGTTTGGGCAGGTACAGACTCAGGACCACATCATGCTAAAGCAAAGGTAAGCCAGGCACTGGATTTTCCTCAAGAGAAATGTAAACCCAGCCTCAGATCACCTCACACTCTGAGTGAATGAAGACGGCCACAAACCCAGCTACCTCCCAGAAGAGCAGCTATCCCCTGTTGGAAGGTTAACCAGAAGTCCTCAGAACACAAGGCTGGAATAGGTCCTGGCTCAGGAAAAGATGGTCAGCTGGGTGCGGTCAGGACAACTCACAACCTGGAATATGTACTGTTTACTACTCAATAAAATCCAGCAGTGACACACTGTCACATCAGTGAGTTTCTGCCTTTTGGTTAATTGGAAGAATCTGAATTCTACCAATGACAATTTCCAAAGGTATTACGTGGCATGATGGGTAGGAGTGAAGATGTTCTTTTGAAATTCAAGTAGTTTGAGGTGATAGGTAATCATGTCTGAACCCAAATTGGCTCTGGAAGCTAAAATAACATGCAATAACAAGAGTAAGAAAAAGTAAACAAGCAGGGCACCAGTGGCTCACGCCTGTCATCCTAGCTACTCAGGAGCTTGAGATCTGAGGATCAAGTTCAAAGCCAGCCAGGGCAGGAAAGTCTGTGAGATTCTTATCTCCAATTAACTACCAGAAAACCTAAAGAGGTGCTGTGGTTCAAGTGGTAGAGCACTTGCCTTGAGCTGAAGAACTCAGGAACGGCGCCCAGTCTCAGAGTTGAAAGCCCATGACTGACAAAAAAATGAACAAAGAGGGGCTGGGAAGATGGCTCAGTGGTAGAGCACTTGCCTTGCATGCATGAGGCCCTGGGTTCGATTCCTCAGCACCACATAAGCAAAACAAAATAAGCCAGAAGTGGCGCTAGAGCGCTAGCCTTGAGCTGAAGAGCTGAGGGACAGCGCCCAGGCCTCACAACCGGACCCTCCCCCCAAAAAAAAGAAATAAGAGAAAGAATGAAAGGTGGAAAGACAGGAAGGCACAGGACCAAGAAATCATGTGACGACGTTGGGCGCTGGTGGCTCACTCTGTAATGCTAGCTACTCAGGCTGAGATCTGAGGGTCTTGGTTTGAGCTCGGCCTGGGCAGAAAAATCTGAGAGACACCATCTCCAAGATAACTAGCACAAAGCAGGACTAGAGGAGTGTGTTCAGCTGGTATAGCACCAGCCAAGCAAGCTTTAGGGCCTGAGTTAAAACTCCAATACTGCAAAAATGATAAATAAGCAAATAACTAAGAGGCAACATCATATCCTCACACCAGTGGCTCACGCCTGTCATCCTAGCTACTAAGGAGATTGAGATCTGAGGATCATGCTTCAAAGCCAGCCTGGACAGTAAAGTCTGTGAGACTCTTATCTCTTCACCAGAAAACCAGAAGTGGTGCTGTGGCTCAAGTGGTAGAGTGCTAGTGTTGAGCTGAAGAGCTGAGGGACAGCGCCCAGGCCCAGAGTTCAGGCCCCACAACTAACATTTAAAAAAAAAAAAAAAAGGAGGCAACATGGTGAAGGGTGTGTGTGGCAGCGCACCTTCAACCCTAGCACTACAACTCCTGAAACGGGCAGATTTGAGTTCAAGACCTGGACTACATAGCAAGACCTTGTCTCAAAAAAACAAGAGCTCAGCTGGGCTCTGGTGGCTCACGCCTGTCATCCTAGCTACTCAGGAGGCTGAGATCTGAGGATCGCAGTTCAAAGCCAGTCCATGCAGGAAAGTCTGTGGGACTCTTTTTTTTGGGGGGGGGGTCCGGTTGTGGGGCCTGAACTCTGGGCTTGGGCGCTGTTCCTCAGCTCTTCAGCTCAAGGCTAGCGCTCTACCGCTTGAGTCACAGAGCCACTTCTGGCTTTTTTGCTTATGTGATGCTGAGGAATCAAACCCAGGGCCTCAGGCATGCAAGGCAAGCGCTCTACCACTGAGCACCTTCCCAG